TTTTTCTTCCAAAATGCCCATATGTGTCACGAAATAAGCAGTCAAAATTTTTAAGAAGCAATTTGTACTCCAAACAATGCTACGTTATGAGCATACGCGTAAAATTAAACGAGTACATTTTGCGAATTTTTTATAATTTTTTGCAATAAATATTTTATTTGAAACTTTCTTCAAATTACAAAGTATGCTTCAAATTTCTCAAAAATACCCATAGATGTGAAAAACTAAATACCGAAAATGTGTAAGAAGCATATGTTTAGTGCAAAATTGAAAATTGTAAGTCAGTATATTGGTAAGATATAATCCTTCAGGGATAAGCAGAAAAAAAAAGGTTTTTCATAAAATAGAATAATTCCGTATAAGAAGAAAGAACGATAATTTAAAACATTTTATAAAATAATCATACTGTAAAAAAAGAAAAAATGCTTTTAATAGAATAGAATAATAATTCTGAAATAAAAAGAATTAGCTAACAATAAACCTAATCATTCTCATGAGCTAGGAGAGTACCCTAGCCCGCGCTAGCGAGTCCGCGCCCTTGGGTGTTACTAAATTAATGCTTTATATTATACCACAGGACTATTGTCAACTGATTAACAGGAGGAATTCAAGCTTTCCAGTCATTTACGCATATTTGAATGTGACGCATAATTGGACCTAGTTAGGTCCTATTGTGGGGCCCTTTATCGGAGTATAATTTTTTGGCTTGCTGTGATGGTTATGTACAATGTAACAGCATATCTGACTAAGTTTCAAAATTAGAAGTTAATATCAAACGAAGATATAGACCATTATATATATTTAAAACATGTGCTTTTTTCTTCTGTTATAGAACGTATATTGATATATTGACGTAACAATCAGGCCTATTTTTGAATTCATCTACAACTTTGAGGCTTGACCTCATGTTTACGTATATTGAAATAATAAACTGGCCAAAGTTTGAAAATTATACGTTAAAAGCAAAATATAGGCATTTATGTATATACAAAGAACACATATAAAAAAAAAATTATATTTAAATAGGCTTTTGTTGTGCTCGAACTAATTCGTCCATAATTTTGCGGTTAGGCCTTGTGCTTGCTTATTCCAAACTAATAATAAATGGAGAAAAGTTTGAAAATTATATGTAATTATAAAAGTAAAATATAGGCTTTTGTGTATATGCAGAGAATACAAGAATTCTGCAGAAATTCTTAATAGGGTTTCGACGTTTCTTTATATAAATGAAAATAGGGAGCGATAATTCGAAACATTTTATTAAAATTATCGTCATGTAAAAGAAGTGAAAAAGAAAGATTTTTCATTCTGAAATAAAAAGAAAAAATTTGTTGCTAATAATTAGCCTCATTATTTTCATATGATACGACAGATCACTCACGCTCTTGGACTTAGCAGTTTGGTGCTTCATACCATTCTACGGTACCATAGTCATTTTGCTCCTTACCGGGAATTGCATTTTCGTGGTTTTGCATAGGACACACAATGGGACCATATTATGCCTCGTAGTGCGGCCTCTAGTTCGTCTATAATTTTTCGGATTGTTGTAATTGTGTACTGCGTTAGAAAAATATATCTGAACAAGTTACAAAGTTCTAGGTTAAAGAAACTGTAAGATCAAATATATATATATTTTTTTATTATTAAACGGCTTTGTAACTAGCAACAGCCGTCCTACAGAGAGACAAGATTCAGAAAAATAAGATAAAACTTGTTATGCACAAGTTAAATAGGAAGTGCGAATTTGATCGAAGTACTTTTGAACTTTCAGTCAAATTATGAAGTAATTTCCCAGAGGAAATGTTTTATTTAATATTTTTAATCTACTATAAGCAACAAAAAAAAATATTAAAAAAATCAATCAACCTGAATAATTTCTGATTTAATGATCGATCCTCACGAGCTAGCATAGCCGTAATCTGGGAAATATGTTCTTAATTGTTTGGTCAGGAGAGCTTTCCAAAGCTTTAACTTTTTTATGTTACTTTTTCTTTTTGCATTTTTCATGTTTTGTCATATCACGGAAATGTTTTAAGTGAATCAAAATTTCTTGCACTCAATTATAAAATTTGTTCATTCAGAGATAATTCCATGACAAAATGATTTTTATAATTTTTTATTATTATTTAATATTTTTTTTGTAAATAGTCTAAAATCTTTTCAATCGTTAGATATATAAATGTGTACATTATTTTAACAAACGTGATTTTATAAGACAAAATACAAACTTTGAACGAAATTGGTCGAATAGTTGTTTGGACATCTAGTTTTAAAAATACAATTTCCATAAAATTCGATTTCTCAGAACTATACGCCAAGTTTCATTCAAATTTCGTATTTTGCATTTTAAAATTACATTATTTAAAATGACGTAAAAATTTGTATACCTTACAATTCAAAATTTTTTGACTATTATTAAAAAAATAATGGAAAATATTAAACAATTATTAAAAAATACTTTTTGCATGGAATTATCAGTCGATAAAAGAAATTTATAATTGTGTGTAACAATGTCTTGATTCGCTGAAAATATTTTCGAGATATAAGTAACGTTAAGGGATCCGACTTTTGAACGGCTCTTCTGACCAAACTATTAAGAATATATTTTCCAAATTCCTTGGACCCGAATTATTTTGAGGGTCAGAAATCCAAATCCGTAGAAAGAAAAAGTCTGTCTATTCAGAGAAAGTACACTTTTGTCTTAATTTGTAAATTGAAATATCATCTGCACTAATTAATTAGCATATTTGAGGTCACCTCCTCGAACCATCAAGATTGAGACCTAGTACGTAAATAGTATCATTAGATCGGAAGTTATTCAGGGTCATTTTAAAATTATAACAGAAATGGCTTGTTCGAACTTCTGTAAAACAAGTATTAAGTATTTTCACTCCGAAAGATTTGTTAAGTTTGAAATGTTGGTCACAAGAACTTTAATTTTTAATGAGACTTTTATTTCATTATAAAAATATAAATTTAAAGAATGTCATTTTCAAAATTTTGAGAAACTATTCATTTTAATAGGCGATCTTATTTTATTATAATTATCGTTTTCTCCAGACTGAAGGATTCGAATCCATCGACATCATGCATTGGCTTTGGCTCTGGGTATGAGGACGTATCTGGGATAGGACGTAAAATAAACAAGAGGACTGTTGAGGGCTGTTTAAATATATCTTTATAATTTTAAGTGGGTATACTATATCGTACATGTTATTAATAGAAATAAAGAATACCGGGACTTGATTATTTTTTTCTGTGAGGGAAATAATAATAATTTTTTTTAATGAAAATTTAAGGCACAAGATAATTTTTAATAGGAATACCTAAACAATTTTCAGCAGTCAAAAAGAATATTAAATTATTGGATATACTTGAGACAGTTGAAAGTTATTTGTACTTAACATCATTCAACTCATAAAAATTGAAATCACTGCAAAATTGAAAACCTTCAAGATGAAACAATTTTGATTCGAAACTAAACTGAACTGTACTTATCTACTGGTGTTAAAAATATCATTGAGGCAGAAAGTTTTATTTATTTATTTATTTTCAATAGTTTGAGTTGATATTGTGGGAAGTGTGCTCAAAATTAACCAAAAGAACGCTATGCTTGTAGATTTTTTTCTTTTGAATTTACGAGCATATATTTTTGTTATTTAAAAATTTATAAAAAAATGAAGTAAAAATTTTTTAAATCATTTTCATTTGAATTTATTGTAAAATTTTTAGTAGTTCACAGTCAGTATTTAAACTCATCACCCAAACCTCCCTTAGTTAGCCCAATGGCAAGAGATTCTAACCTTTTATCCATCTACCACTGGGGAGTACCCAATTTTAAACTGCTGTTAAACAACTGCTGTTAAACTGCTGTTAAACAGCCGACCCACTTGGAGTTTGCGACTATCAAGGTTCAACTCAGCGGCCTTGTAATTTTGAGCCCAACTTATTTTATTTTGGGATCAGGCATTGGAATAAACAAACTAGCCTTCATGGAGAACTTCTTGATGGAACTAACCCACATACATGGAGAGCGAAAACTACGAAAACCTCTCATGGTTTGCCTAATTGCAAGAGGATTCTCACCTACAATCAATCTACCACTGAGGATAATTTATATCAGCATTACGGTCACTACGATCCTGAAGAATTCATATCGAACAGCCGTCGAAGGGATTCGAATCTGGCTCGCCCTATTGGAAGGCGAATGATCTATCTCCTGAGCTATACCACGGTTTGATTTACCTCATTCGTGCTTGATAATGTAAAATCTTAATTTACTTCAAAAATTATTAAATTGAAAAAAGTTGGCAAGTTTCAAGCGCTAGAGAACAGGCGACCATTTTCAAGACTCATTAGACGTGAATGAGGAAAACAATAAATATTGGAAAAAGAAAACGCAAAGCTGCCAGCGAAAATATAGAAAATTAAATAAGGATAAAAACACACTTCTAAGAAAAAGTGCCATAGACTAGGCTGGTATTTCCTACCTCTAAAAAAGAGTTTTTAAATATGTACCTTCCAGAATAAATAAATATGTTAATAAATAATAAAATAAAAATCAGAATATTCAGCTGCCATGAAGATGAAAAGTTTAGCTAAAAATTCTGTCGATTTTAGTTTTTAAAGATTTAAGTTTAGTTCCCGAGGAAGCTGCTAAAATTATAACAAAAGCTTCGTTAAATATATTTGCTATCTTACAATATTTCGTTCTTTCTTTAATTTCTTAATGACACTGAATATGAAAATGACCCTTGTATTTTTGCTGTTTTCTGAAATGAGAAGGATTTATTGGAATTTCCGTGAAGGGAAGTTCCTTGAGCATATTTGAACGTAGAGATAATTGTTCTATTAAATTAAAACCTGGCAAAGCTGATCTTGTTTATAGCAGCCTGATCATACTGCTTAATAACAAGATAAGTTTTATTTGAATAAGAAAAAAAAGGAATTATATGTTTGTAAATTCCTTAGAAGATTATATCAAATAAAATAAAACAATATTTTAAAAATAAAATAGTTTTAATATTAATGATTACAAAAATGAGTACATTGGCATCTCAATGAACTGATAAAATTCAAAATGATTTGTACGTATTTACAAAGAAGAAATAAAAACAACGAGATGTACACATGAAAATATAAATAAGTATGATGGATAGCAAAAAATGTTACAAATGTAAAAAAGCTATTTATATGATTATTGGTGTCATAAATTTGTAGCAAATACATTTGCTAATGAAATTTTATATAGTTGGGATTTTTTTTTGTTGTTGTTGTTTTTCTTACTATATTTTTTGAATTTAATTTTCTGTGAAGAGGAGAATACTCACGAATTACAAGTATGCATTTAACAAAACATCATATGGGCAAAGCTTTTATTTTGCAAAGGAGAAACATCAATATGAAACGCTAAATACAATCAATTACAAATAAGAAAAATCTTTAATTGTTTGTTTTTTCTGTTTTAGTTATCAAGCAACACAAAACTAGCAGTATACCCTATACAAAAATTACATTATAAAAATTTATATGAAATAAATTTAACATGAATTTTAAATAGGAACTATAAAATTGATGCTTTGCATAATTTAATAAATTTGTTTTTTAGATATTTGTCTTTAAGAGATATATTTCTAAAGATAAATATATACTTATAAAATTCTAAAAAACAATTGAAATTATAGTAAATTCTGTTTAAGAAATATATTTGCTTTGAAAAGTTATGTCGTAATAATTATTACTAGTAGATTTAACATTCTCCTCGATTTTATTAATTACAAATACAATTATGCACCTTTGAAAAAATAAATTAAGAACGAAATGTCCATGAATTGTCTAAGTTCAGACAGAGACAATACTAAAAAATTAAATAATTTCCAATTAAATTATATATTTTAAGACTCTGTTGTATAACAAAATTAAATAAAGATATTATTCGCATTTTTTGAATATACGAACAATTTTCTGCTTTTTCAAACCTTTTTTAACGCAAAATCCATTGATAGATTTTTTTTTTACTTGACTAGAAATATCACATGCAAAAAAAAAAAAAAAAAATTCACATTATTTATGAATGAACTAATTTATATAAGTTATCAATTATTAAGAATATTAAAAGTACGATAAAGCTGGTTCATAATGAGTTTTAAATTCAAGCATTTCTTTAAAAAAAATAGTACTGATACTTTCATTAAAACTGATAATAAAAAGCCAGATCAATCTTAGATTAATTTTAAAAAATGCAATTTTTTGATAGTTTGATTGCAAATCAAACAATCATATTCTCCTAAAAAATATTTTTATGCGTGACTGTAAATCGTAGCAACAGTAAAAGATGCAGTTGCACAGGTCTGATTTCAAATCACAGTAACAATTATGATCTTAAGAGACTGCATGACACATGCGTTGTTCACGCCTGGTAGTGAATCATCATATTCTTATTCAAAGACAGATATGTTCAGGTCTGATTATAAACCGTAGCAGCAGTCACATTCTGTTAGAAAAGTCCTTTAAGTTTAAGTTAAAGATGGAACGATAATAAAATGTTAAAAAATAAATAGTGTGTATGACAAAAGAGCCTCTCATTTTTTTGTTCTAGCTTTATGCCCATACAATGAGAGGTTAGAAATTCATGCATCAGTTCTTATTGGCCTGGTGCCAATATTCCACAGCTGATTATAAACCACAGCAACTGTCACATTTTGATTGAATGATACTTTTCTTTTATTATCGTATGTTGGGCTGTAGCTAGTATCCAGACTAGATAAAGATGAAGCAGGACTAGAGTCTAAACTCCCCAGGCGTCTTGGAATGGTAAGTGGTTTGCTGTTAAAGTTCAATGAAGTAGAGATGGTTCGGGATTTGGTTTGAGTTGTTGAGATAGGCCTCCCTTTACTAATTTCTACATTTACTGTAGCCGGTGCGTCTTCATCTTCACTTGACACTACAACCACTGGACATACTTCTAGAGGACATGAAGATTGAGAAGAACTGAAATGAGATATAAAAGTGACATTAAAAATAAGAAAATTCGCACATGAAATGATTTAAATTATGTAATTTCACAAATTTAACATCAGATTTTACACTGTTGGAAATTTTGGAGACTAAAATTTTGTTCGCAAATGCATTTTACTATCACAAAATTGTAGCTTTTCTACAGATTGACATTTTATGCCGTTTTCACAATTGGTGTAGAGAGCGCTGGCTGAAGATAAACCAAACTCAACAGTCATAAATGACTATTAGAAACTCTCAACAGTTCTAATAAATAGCATAAGTTTTTTGAAAATAGATTATTTTAAAAATATAGGAATGTTTCGAAGATATGGTATTTGCACTTGGATTTTGAATTTATAAAAATGTTGAGTTACTAACCTGGTATCTGATTGATCTGAAAAATCCGATTTGATATCCATTAGTTGAGGTGCTGGAATATCACCAATACATTCTTCATCAATTTGATTCATACTGCATGTACTTTGCAGAAATAGGTGTAAACTTTTGTCAGATAAATACACAAGGGTTGATAATACTCTAGAAAAAAATATAAATATCATAAATAATGATTCTATCAAAAGATATAGAAAATTAGTTTTATAAAAAAAATATTAGTCATGAGTATTCATTTTGTGCAAATTATTTTTATGAAATTGTTAAATGCACGAACTAAAGAAATTTGGTTTTTATTCAAATTAAAATGATTTTATACGAGTATCTACCCTTGTATTTTTTCCAATTATATTTTTTCAGAAAATTTTTTACTTGATGAGTTAGTTACTGAATGAAGTTTCTTGAATATAAGCTTAAAAAATTTACGTCTAAAATTTTCAGTTTTGTTATTGAAAATGTATAAAAATGTAATAATCGCATGTAATAATTATAACACTCTCCCCTTATTATTTTATAAAACGTTAATATGTATTTTTTATATTAAACAAAAATATAGAAAAGAAATAAAGCAAATTACTTGTCAAGGAAAATCTGAAGACCTTTTTTCCTTTCATCAATGAAAGCATCACTGAATCTATTAAAGAAACTTTTTGGAGGAAGAACAGGTGCTTTCCTGAAAACAAACATATTATTTTAGTTTACTAACTCAATATTATTATAAAATTTAAAAACTATGTATTTTTTAAAAAGCTTTAATTTTAATTAATTTATCTAATGTTAATATTTATTTTTAAATACTTTTTACATATAATTTTAAGATTAAATTTCAATGTTTGATTTCTAATATTTTATTTTAATTCTAAACTTAAATATTTAATTTCAGTAATTAATTTTAATATTTGTTCTATATTTATTTTTCATTTTGCTTGATCTTAATTAAATTAATTTCATTTTTATACTTAATTTTGAATTTTGTTTTGCAATTAACTTTAATTTGGTTCAATTATAAATTAATTTTTCTTCAAATTTTAATTTGGTTTAACATTAATTTTTCCATTTAAATGAAAACTAAATTTAATAATTGATTTTTATTGCAAGTACACAAATTTGATGTATATTTCAGTTTCAAATGATCAGAATGTCTATAAAATATTTTTAAAAGTTTAACCTTCCATTAAAAGAAATAAAATGAAATATGGATAAGTTCTTAGAATTTTTGATATATTGTAGTTTTTTTTAAGTTATTTAATGAGCACCAATACTTAAGCAAAACACAACCAAATTGATTATGGATCCTTATAGACTGCTGGTATAATTTTAATAAGCATCAATTAACACTATTAACAATAATTTTCCAACGTTTGCCTTTTAATAACAAACTTTTAATCCTGAAAACGATAGCATAAGTTTTTGCTGATATTTGTGTGTTTTTAATGCATTATCTACCAAATTTTTTAATTAGAAATAAAACGAATTAAGTATCAAAAATGGTTAATAAACCATTTGTATCATTAAATCATATAATTATTAGCAAAAAGGTTCACTTACATTGTAGGAAAATGAGATTCTAACAGACGGCGTAAATGTTGAAATTCAGAATATCTTCGCCGAACTTGAGAATATGATTGTGAGAAACAAGGGTCATTGCTCTAAAATTAAAAAGAAATTCAGTAAGATTTAATATGAAATATTCGATAAATCTTAGCGTTCAAGCAATTTTATTCATTATTTATTGAAATGTAAACAAAAAATATAGTAATACCTTTAAGCTTATGGCATATGATGTGTAGTAACTTCCAGAAGAAGAAAACTGTATTAAAGGACTGTGAACTGATACAACTGTTATCTAAAGAAAAGAACATCAATCTTAATTTTAAAATGATAGCATAAGGAGTTATATAAAATTATTTTAGAATTTTTTTTTTTACAGATTTATATAAAATTTTATAGAGAACTGATACAATTTAATGTCAAAAGCATAATTTATCTTAATTTTAAATTTTAATATGGAGGGCTGTATAAAACATTATTAAAAGACAGAGAACTAATAAAACTGTTATTTGTAAATGAAAATTTTATATTTAATTTTAAATTATTAAAGTAAAGAGTTTTGTGAAACTATATTAAAAGTTTATAACTATATTAAAAGAGTAGAGCTAAATTAACATTACTATTGTATTCAGGGCTCTTCTTTAATTACTCTTAATTTAGAGCTAATATCCAACAGGAAGTACACAAATTAATATAGAAGGAGAAAAATATTTGAAACAATCTCAAATCATACTGATAAATTATTGAGGTAAGACAATAACTGTGAATGCAGGATTAAAACATCAAAAATATATGGTCAGATGAGACTGAGTGGTGGTATAAAGTGATTATTCTTTTTAGTTTCATCGGTAAACCAAAAGAATTTTAATGTTTTTAATGCCGCTTTTATCATGACCTTCCTCAAAAATGATCTTGGTAATAATTTTTGAGGAAAGTCATGATACATTCGTCTTCATCTTACTTAGCTATTCAGAATGTTTACAAATATAAGAAAAATTAAGAAAGATTACAAAATTTTAAATCACAATTTCTTAAAATATAAATTATAAGTATAAATATATTTCTTGGTGAAAAATTTCATTTTTTAAAATCTTTATTTTCACAATGTTTATAATTTAAGCAGCGATTATTTTAAGGACAAAATAAAGATTACACCAATGAGAAATCAATTTAAGTGGAGAAGATCCTTTATGTAATTTACTTAAAACATATCATTTTTGTAATAAAAAATTTTATTATATCAATAATAATTTGCAATATTTAAATTAAATTAAATTAATAACAAATAAAAATCAGTGTTGTAAGGAAATATAGTTTTTGTATTTTATTTATGATATATTGATAAGCATTTAACATATTTATCACAGTTCCTAGTATAACCTTCTGCTCAAGTTAAAATTTTAAATATATTTTTTGGTTTATCACTGTAGGTGCAATAAAATGATTTTTCATGAAACTTTTAACTTCACTTATTTATAATGTAATAAAAACAGTTTTTAAAGACCATAATATTTCTTAAAGATAAGAAATGATTGCAGAAATTGGAATTTATTTTAGATTTCCTTGACAAATCCTCAAATAATGTTTCCAAGTTTAAATATAAAGAAAGCAAATTGCTATCTTTTATTAGATAAGTATTTGCATCGGGCTGACCGTGGAGGTTTTGGCGGGTTTTTTTGCCCCACATTTAAAGCAATTGCGTCTTTCTCTACTTAATTTTTTCACCAAGATTTGTCCCTTAACCGTACTAAAGAATTTGCTTTTCTTTCGAGTTTAGTACATCATTACAAGGCAACGTAGGAAAATTTAAAATAGCTGTACTCTGTTTAAACGGCTGGTTCGGAAACTAGTTCCCTGACATTCTTTTTTTATTTTCTTCTCTTTTTTTCCTTTCTTTTTTCTTTTCTTTTCTTTCCATCTTTCTTTTTTTCCAATTATTTTTTCTTTTTTGAAAATTAAAGAAAAAACTACAATAAAAATATGTAGCATTGTACGGTAATGCATGTTTTTCCATTACATCCATGATATAAACTAGTAATCATATTTAAAATACTTATTTTGAAATAATTTAAATATTTCATTGAACTAAAATTCACTATGATATTTATAACCTATATATTTATGTTTCATTCGTATTTAAAATAAAGTTCTTAATTAAAAATAAAATTCCTAATTAAAAATGAAGCTCTCTAAAACATATTAAAAATAAAATTTTACAAAAATAATAATAATGCAAAAATAATAATAATACAAAAAAGATATTGCGAAATAAGGAACAAGAAAAATTCCTTACCATTGTTTTGTTATCCATTTCACTAAACAATTCAAATTTTGATGGGATTATACCCAATTGTTTGAGAAATACAATTCTGTAGATATTTAATCACAACACTCTGTATGAAAATTTGCGCTCAACTGTTTTAGCGTTCATAAATTTCGCAGTTATGTATGTTTTCAAATGACGAGAAATACGTCACCCGATAAGATATCAACAACAAAGCACATGCTCTTGTAACCTCGTGACTGCGTAGAACACGCATCCCCAGTGAAAGCGATACAAGCGGCTGTCAAAACGAAATAAAACTATGAAATAACATCCCCCCCCATTTCATATCATAAACGTTTTTGTTTTATTTTTTCCTCATGATCTACATGAAAACAGTTACAAAGAATCTATTGAGGCTCGTTTTTTAAAGAGTTTTTTTTCAACAATTACAATAATAATAATAATAATGATAAAAATAATATTAATAATAAACTTATCATTAATTATTATCAACATTAGCAATGCTTGTTGTATTTTAAATTATTTTACCATATATATGCATATCAATATACCATACACTCTCGATCTTCGAAAATTTATGCATCTACTGGCAGATCTACGTAGAATTTCCTCTCCATATGAGTTTCCGATTGAATAGGAATAAATAAAAAAATTAATAAATAATAATCTTGAAAATGTAACAAAAAATAACTACACTTAGGGTACCAATTCTTTTTATTGTAAATTTAATATTTACAGAAAAAATTTAGTGAAGGAGAAAAAAAGATAAACATGAGCGAAAAACTACTTTATCATCACCAGAATTCAAAGCAAGAAAAACTGTTTGACAACTTAATACTCAAAGCCCTGTACCATGCTCTCATACAATGCGGATGGTTTTAAAATCAGTGATATGTTAGAAAACAGATTGTAGTGTCATAGTGGAAGAGAAAAAGTTATGATAAATATTATATACCACTATTACCGTATAATTTACGGTAAAAGCTTAGGAACACTAAAGAGATTACATTTCGTAGTAATATCTTTCTCAAATGCTTCCTGAATTTTTACCATTCTGGTGAGGAACTGGTTTGTTTTACAAGAAAACAACGAAAAAGGGCGAAAAATTCTAGATCAAAAACTCAACATTTTTTAATTTAAAATTTGATTGCTTCACTTGTAAAGCAAAACACCATAAGAGTTGTCTATATATGTGTGCCTTTATCACTTTTGGGATTAGATTGATTATAGGTTTATTTGAACAAGGGTCGAAATTCGCTATGCAGCGCCAAATGTAAATAGCATTATGCTTACTTTAAGTAAACTGGAAAATTGGTGTTAAGAGCTAAGTTTGACAGAACATGAAAATGGGAGTGAAAGAAAAATACCTGTAGAGTTACTCTGGTTTATGGGATCTTTGTTTAACAAGGAACAACATAGTCCCAGAAATGTATAATTTAAAGAAGTGTAATTGGAGTTTGATTTTTCGGTATCGACATTAAAATTTGCTTATAATCATGTAATTCATACTCGGAGAAAACATTTCTGGGAAAGTTATCGTACTGCATGGTAAGGACAATTTTGGTAATAGAAAAACAACATAATTTTGATTAATAAATCCAAAATATGCGGTATTTAAACCATTCATTTGGTAATTTTCTGTTCATATAGTAACGGCTCATGAGAAATTACCATTCATATGGGATAAAACGAGTTCAACCATATTATCGTTCAAATTTCCTGCTACTTCGAAATTGTGTCGATCTGAATAATCTTGTTTCTTAAACTTGATTACTCGATACTGTAGTTCAACTTGTACCAAAATACTATTCAATTTGGCACCCAAATATGATTGCACTGAGAAAAAATTAAGTTACCGTACAGTATAGTAACGGCATTTCTGGTAAAAAAAAAAATGTTATTCTGGTTAATGAAAGCAAAATACGCAGTATTTAAACCATTCATTTGATAAATTTCCGTTCATATAGTAACGATTTAAGGGAAATTCTTGTTTTCAAAATTAGTTCTTATTACCGCATACTCATTAAAAAATACAAAACTGAGAATTAATTTTAACCGAATAATTGGTTTTTATACCATGCTCTAAGGTATCAAAATATAGTAATCCAATATTACAACTTTTAACGAACTTTATCACGTATTATAAAACCATATTTTATTGTTAATTTTCCCAAAATCATTATCAAAGCACTTCGGTAAAAATTACCGAGATTTTTTGGTGTCTTCCAAAATCTGAATAGAGCGAGAAACACGGTAAATTGTGCCACATTCCACGGTAAATATTACTATAATGGTAGCTTTGACAATTCTTTTTTTCTCTGTGTACATCTATTAGTCTTTAGAAAAATAACCAAAAAATGAAAAGGCAATAAAAAGAAATTATTGTAAAAATTTTAATAAGTTTCATCAATAAAAAAACGTTCTGATAGCAAATATTTAATTCGATGGACAGTTTAAAAAATTTGCAACAAAAAATTTATAATCGACATCAAATAAGCGAGAAAAAGTTTCACTATGATTCGATGTATATCGATATTTTTATTAAAAGTTGGAAAAGAGGCTTTCTATTTTCTTAAAGCTATAACTTGCTTGAAAAAAAAACTTCTTTCGCAACAGAAATTTAACATATTTTTTTCAGTATTATACCATTCTTTATAGAAAACGATTACTATTTTATTGTAATTACACTTTTAAACATTAAAATTTATGAATCATAAAATTATTACGTAAAATGAGTATTTATATCTACTCTTTATGAATCATGAAAAGTGGCTATATTTGTTAGAAAATTGAATTACTTGCTATTTTGGAAATGCAATTGCGTTATTTCATTACTTCATCCTATTTGTAAAATGTTTGTCTTTTCGTAATACAAATACTTTAAAATATTTATATTAATAGTTAGCCTTAAATTCATTTGTCTATTTTTTTAAACTGCACAATAATGTCTTATTTACAAAGTATACTTAAATAAGTTGCATTTAATTAGTAACAAAGCATTTTTTGTTAAATACGTTTATTACATTATGAATGATGCGTATCAAAATCGTAATCTTAATCATCTTATTTTATTTTAAACCAGGTATTTTATTTTAAAACAGTTGATTCATTTTTTGGTTACTATCCATCTTCACTTTCGTAAGATTATAATTTTGAACCCAACTCAGATTACAAGTTAACTCTCGGATCAAGAATTAGGTAAAACTACCTTTCTTGGAGGACTGTAAACCTCCCATAGTTACCTCAATGGTAAGGGCTTGCTAACCCATATTCTTTTTTCTACTGAGGATATTTTACGTCAGCACTGTGTTCAATGAGAGACGGGAGCAGAATTAATGTCGACCTGTCGTAACTGAGATTCGAACCTGAGTCACTTAATTGGGAGTTTAGCACTTTATCGCAGAAGCTACCACGGCTTCATTATAATCACCGTCATAAAAAGGCCACTTAAAAGCTAAGAACATGTTTATTGTTATTTAAAAAAATAGATAAGTGTATTTCTGTTTCGTCCACTGTTATGTCTTGGTTTTGAAAAAGGTTGCTGTCCCACTTAAATCTAATCTATTTTCAATTTGAAATTGAATATTTATTTGAACTTTTAAAATAGTGAATATTTAGTCCGAAAGGTTCTTTTTAAACAATTTCCATGTAAACAGCTATTACATTCTTAAATTAAATTGCCTATTTCTAGTTAAACACGTTTTAACAAGAAATATTTTTTCTAGTTAAACGTGTATCCTCCTTTGACATTAAACACGTTTAAACTCGTGTTACAATGATTCAAATGCGGTGTTAAAAATCTATATTAAAATACAGGTTTCATCAATTTTTATTAAAATAGTTAGATATTAAATTTGTCAATATTTTTAATGTTGTGCAACGATAGTGAAACGTTTGGACGATACTGTAAGTAATGATAAATTTTTACTTGCAAAAATCTTCTAAGATAATTACGTATGATTTAAAAAAAATCTATTTTAAACTAGAATTTTGAAATACCCAATTATCGAGTAAAGATATCAACCAGGAAATTAACAAAAACGCAGCCTTGACTGAAAGTTTCAAGAATATTTTTTAAATCAAGCAATCGTTACGTCTGTTTTATCAGAAGTAGATTATAGTTTGATTACATTTTCGCAATTTAGAAAATTACAGCAATTCATCTTTAAAGCATTTCATTTATTAGGAGAATCAATTTCTTTTTTAAGTATAGTTTGATTTCAACATCACCTATAAACAATGATTTAATGAAATACCTAAGAAAAAAGCAACATATCGGCAATGAATCGGCAATTTTAACATAAAAGAAATGCTTTCGTTTTATCTTGAAAATCAAAACAGTAACACTAAAACTTAAATATTTTAGATACAATTGTTGTTTTAGTATTGCTATTATATGCGTTGCATGTTTCTTAACTTTTTAATTTTTTTTACATTTAAAGCTAATCCTCTAATCCTTTTCTTAATAAAAATAAAATCATTAATTTTTTTTTAACGCAGTTACGTAAAAATCAAGCTCTAAAAATAGATATTAATTTTGTAACTGCTAACACATTAACATAAAAGATAAAGTCCGGCAAATCTTTGCCATAATTTTGCTAAGACCTATGAGCTTTATCTATTGTCAAATTACTTCAAATAGAATAACCGTTTTTACTAGTTTGACTTGGTTTTTCCTGATAAACCACCTTCTCTTCTCAGTAGGGGAGAGGGGGGCACATGTGAACAGGGGGCACATGTGAACATGGTATGTTTTACCAATATGATTTGAAATAAAAAATCTCGAAAAATTTTCAATTGATGGCAGTACTAGTCCTTCCTACCTCTCTGAAAAACTTTCAGAACAATGAGACATTTTATTGGTCGATTCTGACAATTTCTTTGTATCAGCTGGTGTTGCATATATTATAATCGCTCGCTTCTCCAAGTGAAAGCATAATATAAATCAACTAATAAACTAAAATTAACTATTGCAGATCATTATATGAACATTCAGGTAAGTTTATGACAATTATTCTTTTTTTTTACTCAATTAAAAGTTCTTTATTTTTCAAGTTAGGTTTAAGAAGGATGATGGGGGCACTTGTGAACAAAACATCTGGGGCAGATGTGAACAGTTCACAAGTGCCCCTACATAGTATTAAGATTATTATCCTCATG